CAAAGTGCGGGGATTACAGTTTTTCGCCACTGTCTGTTTTTTTTAAAGACTATTTTTTTTTTATATTATTTTTTTTTTTTTTTTTTTTTTTTTTTTTTTTTTTGGAGACGGAGTTTCGCTCTTGTTACCCAGGCTGGAGTGCAATGGCGCGATCTCGGCTCACCACAACCTCCGCCTCCTGGGTTCAGACAATTCTCCTGCCTCAACCTCCTGAGTAGCTGGAATTACAGGCACGCACCACCATGCCCAGCTAATTTTTTGTAGTTTTAGTAGAGACAGGGTTTCACCATTTTAATAGAGACAGGGTTTCATCACATTGGCCAGGCTGATCTCAAACTCCTGACCTCAGAATTCATCCACCTTGGCCTCCCAAAGTGCTGGGATTACAGACGTGAGCTTCCATGCATGGCCTCAAGCCTCTTTAGTTTAGTTTTGTTGCCGCTGATTTGTTTTTCAGTTTTTTAAGATAAGGTCTTGCACTGTCATCCCAGCTGGAGTGCAGTGGCTCCCTTATAGCCCACTGCAGCCTCAAACTCCTGGGCTCAAGTGATTCTCCTGCCTCAGCCTCTTAAGCTGGGACTACAGGCATGTGTCACCCTTCCTGGCTAATTAAAAACATTTTTTCTTTTGCAGAGATGAGGTTCTCCTTTGTTGCCCAGGCTGGTCTTGAACTCCTGGGCTCAAGCCATCCTCCTGCCTCAGCCTTCTGAAGTTCTGGGATTACAGGTGTGAGCCACCATGCCCAGCCTAGTCTTTTTCTTCTTCTTCTTTTTTTTTTTTCTGCCCTTATTAGTGAATTAGTTTGGTTCTATGCAACAAGGAGAACCTAGGAGCTGGCCCAGAAGAGAATCTTCCTTAGAAACCAGGAGAAAGGGGCAAGATTAGGAATGGTCACACAGTAATAATTTAGGTCCCATCATACCATCATGCATGTTTGAGTGTATGTGTGTATTTGTGTGTATATGTATACAAGTAGGCCAGGCATGGTGGCTCATGCCTGTGTTCCCAGCACTTTGGGAGGCTGAGGTGGGTGGATCATGAGATCAGGAATTCGAGACCAGTCTGGCCAACATGGTGAAACCCTGTCTCTACTAAAAATTAAAAAATTAAGGCCACGTGCAGTGGCTCATGCCTGTAATCTCAGCACTTTGGGAGGCTGAGGTAGGTGGATCATGAGGTCAGGAGATGGAGACCATTCTGGCCAACATGGTGAAACCCCATGTCTACTAAAAATACAAAAATTAATTTGCTGGGCATGGTGGTGGGTGCCTGTAATCCCAGCTACTTGGGAGGCTGAGACAGGAGAATTGCTTGAACCTGGGAGGCTGAGGTTGCAGTGAGCTGAGATTGCGCCACTGCACTCCAGCCTGAGCGACAAAGGGAGACTCTGTCTCAGAAAAAAACAAAAAACAAAAATTAGTTGGGTGTGGTGGCATGCACCTGTAATCCCAGCTACTTAGGAGGCTGAGGCAGGAGAATGGCTTGAACCTGGGAGGCAGAGACTGTAGTGTGCCGAGATCGTGCCACTGCACTCCAGCCTGGCGACAGAGTGAGAGTCCGTCTAAAAAAAAAAAAAAAATTAGCCCAGCACGGTGACGCATACCTGTAATCCCAGCTACTTGGGAGGCTGAGGCACAAGAATAGCTTGAACCCAGGAAGTGGAGGTTGCAGTGAGCCAAGGTCTGGCCATTGCAGTCCAGCCTGTGTGACAGAGTGAGACTCCATTTCAAAAACAACAAAAATCCCACAAAATACATGAATACGTGTCTGTATGTCACACACTCTCTTGTCCCTAGGCCCCATGAGGCCCCAGCAACTGTGGCTAAAGCCCAACAGTGAGCGTCACTCCTGATTCTCTCACGGACATCCCCTGTGGTTTCTCCTGGTTTGGTGGTGGGTGGGGCTTCTTGGGCCAGGGTTGGGCAGCTGCAGCCTAGTGGTCAGGTCCTTGCCCCCACCCATTTGTGCCTGTAGGTATCTGGAGATCTGCTCAGCAGATGGCCAAGACACCCTCTTCCTGAGGGCCAAAGATGAGGCCAGTGCGAGGTCGTGGGTGAGTGCCATCCAAGCCCAGGTCAACGCTCTGACGCCACGGGTCAAGGATGAGCTGCAGGCACTGCTGGCAGCCACCAGCACAGCTGGGAGCCAGGACATCAAGCAGATCGGCTGGCTGACTGAGCAGGTGCCTGCTGGGCCTGGGACCTACCCCTTCCTCTCTTCCCCTCCCTTGAAGCTGGCCCTGTTCCCAGTGCCCCTGGCCACCTTGCCCCACCCTGGCCCTCTGCCCTCTCTCCCCCAACCCATCCTCACTGCTGCTTTGTCCCCTGCAGCTGCCCAGTGGGGGCGCGGCCCCCACCCTGGCCCTGCTGACTGAAAAGGAGCTGCTCCTCTACTCTTCTCTCCCTGAGACCGGCGAGGCCCTGAGCCGGCCAGCCCGTACTGCCCCACTCATCGCCACCAGGTACCCACAGGCAGGGGCAGTATGTCTCCCCAGAGCTTGCCAGGAGATGCTCCAGCAAGGCCCTGGAAGCTGGGAACTCCAGTCCTGTCCTTCCCTCAGCTATTCCCCAGGTGACCTAAAGCAAGTCTCTGCCCTATCTGGGCCTCAGTTTCCTCATCTGTAAAATGGGCACTTGGAACAAAAGGATATAAGGTCCCTACCAGCTGCTCATTCATTGACACTTATGCCTTGTGCTGTATGGTTCAGATGACACAGAGCTGATCCCAACAGTTTCTACTTTCAGAGAGAACTTTGTCTCGTTGGGGAGACAGACCCAGGAACAGCCATTACAGTGCAGGGTTTATAGGATCCACTTACCTCTGTAGGGGTGGTTGAGGAAGGCTTCAGGGAGGAGGTGACATTTGAGCTGGACTTTGATGGATGAGTAGAAGTTTTCTGTTTAAGAAAGGGTGAAAGAGCGTCCCATGCAGAGAGAACATCATAGTCAAAGATACAGAGGCATGAAGGGCTAAGGCATGTTCACGGAGCTATGAGTTCCTTATAACCAGAATTCATGCAGGAAATGGACGGAAGGGATGTGGAAGGGGCTGCTCTTGCAGAGCTTCTGTTGCCTGATGAAGGAATGTTGGCTTTATCTTAAAAGTTGGGGAGTGTTGAGGGTTGAAGCTGGGGAGTGAGGTGCTCTGGTTGCTTTGAGAGAACCCCTGTGGCTGCCCCATGGAGAATGCAGCGGAGAGCGCGGGATAGAAGTGGGGAGGTGCTGCAGTCATGCAGGAGAGATGATGGTGGCTGGGGGAGGTGGAGGTGGATGGCGGCCGCAGATGGAGAAGAAAGGCAGCATTTGCATTGGAAACCACACGGGTGTAAAATTAACAGGGCTCAGTGCTTGCCAGATGGGGTGGGTGAAGGAGGGGTCCGGAATGAACAGGAGGTTTGGAGCTTGTGTCTGGGTGAGCGTGGGACTGAGGGTGGGGATGGAAAGGGAAGAGGCTGGAGCAAGATGCTGAGTTAAGTCCACAGTGTGTGTGGGATGGAGAGGGAGCTTGGATAGGAAGCTTGGGGACTCAAGGGTCTGCAGCTCAGGGCTGGACAGTGGGAGGCTGGTGTCAGCAGCGGTCCACGGGGAGCTGAGCTATAAGAGAAAGAGTGGGTGGAGAGAAGAACAAAGAGGAATACAGGCCAGAACTCTAGGTCTGGCAGAACTCTTAGGTCTGCCCCAGCGAGAGGCAGTTGGCTTACCAAGGCCACACAGCATGTGAGAGTCAGGCTGCAGGGGTCTGAAGGCCTTGTCACCCATTTCTCCTTACCTCAGGCTGGCTCTGGCCTGTGTGTCAGGAGCCTGCTGGCCACTAGGGATAACTAGGTTTTGGATAGTCTACTGAATCAAGTGATTCAACTCAGGCAACAAATGTTTATTGAGAACCTACTATGGTCAGGCATGGTTTCAGTTACTGGGAATACAGTGGTGAACAAAAGATCAAAATTTCTACCCTAGCTGACATTTTAGTGAAAAATACAGTAAGAAAACTAACCAAAACAAATAATAAAAAGTATAATTTCTGGTACCATGATGAAAAAGTGAGGCTATTGAGTAACGAGGGTGCTATTTTGGACTGGAAGGTCAGGGAAGTCTTCTCAGAGGAGGTGACATTTAAGCTAACATCTGAAGGAAGTCAGGGAGTGAGCTGTGTGGATAATCAGGGAAGCGTGTGTAGGCAGAGGGAACAGCATATGCAAAGGTGCTGAGGCAGGCGTGTGCTAGGTGTTGTGTGTGAGGACACCAGTATAGCCGGAGCCAAGGGAATGACGGGGAGGGTGGCAGATGTCTCCTATTGAGTCAATCAGTGCCCCCTGGCAAGTCCTGTCCTGTTAGGTGGTGAAAGATTCCCAGGATTTCTTCACAGGACACTGACCCCCTTGCCCAGAACTATTTGCCCCCTGCCTGAGGCCTCATGCTTAGCCCTCTGCCCCCCCCCAACCCCCAGACTGGTGCACTCAGGGCCCTCCAAGGGCTCAGTGCCCTATGATGCAGAGCTCTCTTTTGCCCTGCGCACGGGCACGCGTCACGGTGTGGACACTCACCTGTTCAGCGTGGAGTCACCGCAGGAGCTGGCTGCCTGGACCCGCCAGCTGGTGGATGGCTGTCACCGGGCCGCCGAGGGTGTGCAGGAGGTGTCTACAGGTGTGCTGGGAGGATCTGGGAGTGTCCCTCTGGTAATGAGCCTCTTATCCTCAGGGGCATTGAAGCTTCCTTCTTTAGGGCACTTCAGACAGGAAATGGGGTTTGGAGGTCAAGGTGGGTGGATCACCTGAAGTTGGGAGTTCGAGACTAGCCTGGCCAACATGGCAAAACCCAGTCTCTACTAATAATACAAAAATTGGCTGGGTGTGGTGGCTCACACCTGTAATCCCAGCACTTTGGGAGGCTGAGGCGGGTGGATCACTTGAGATCAGCAGTTCAAGACCAGTTTGGCCAAATGGTGAAACCCCGTCTCTACTAAAAATACAACAATTAGGCTGGGCGCGGTGGCTCACACCTGTAATCCCAGCTACTTAGGAAGCTGAGACAGGAGAATCGCTTGGACCTGAGAGGTGGAGGCTGCAGTGAGCCAAGATCACACCACTGCACTCCAGCCTGGGCGACAGAGCAAGAGTCCATCTCAAAAAACAAAACAAACAAACGAAAATTAGCCAGGCATGGTGGCATGCACCTGTCATCTCAGCCAATTGGGAGGGTGGGGCAGGAGAATTGCTTTAATCCTGGAGGCGGAGGTTGTAGTTAGCCCAGATAGCCCCACTGCACTCTAGCCTGGGTGACAGAGCAAGACTCCGTCTCAAAACACAAAACAAAACAAAACAAAAACCCAAAAATTAGCTGAGCATGGTAGCAGGCGCCTGTAGTCCCAGCTACTCGGGAGGCTGAGGCACAAGAATCACTTGAACCCGCGAGGTAGAGGTTGTGGTGAGCCAGGACTGCACCCACTACACTCCAGCCTGGGTGACAGAGTGAGATTGTTCTTCAAAAAAAAGAGCCAAAGTTGGGTTTGGGGCTCTGTTTTGGGTGTGCAGGTGCCCTGGTAGGCAGAGACTCTTCTCCCCCGGGGTTTTCTTGCCCCAGCTTTGTCAATCTGCTGAGGATGTGAGAAATGGCACTTGGGGTAGGGCTGCCAGATGAAATACAGGACACCCAGCTGCATTTGAATTTCAGATTAACAATGAATACTGTTTTCATAGAAGTATGCCCAAATTAGTCATTGTTTATTCTGAAATTTAAATTTAGCTGGACAACTCTGCAAGTCTCCAAGGGTGGTGCTTGGTAGATCTGACGATGCCTTTATCAGGAGCGAGCCTCCTGTCCGTGACAGATTTTAAGCTCCCCCTTTCTTCAGTGGTGCTGCTGGAAGTGGGGCCGGAAGTGGGTGTAGGTCCTCTGAGGGTGGGGGTGGTGACTCTCTGCAGGATGGGTGTACAGGTGCCACAACAAACAGTGATCCTCCCATCCCTGGAGGCATTCAGGCCCCGCTTTGTGACGCTGCGGTGGGGGTTGGAGGTTGGGGTGTGGTCTCTGAGGTGCCAGCTATGCTTGTACCTACGCGCCCCCCTGCAGCCTGCACGTGGAACGGGCGTCCCTGCAGCCTGTCTGTGCACATCGACAAGGGCTTCACACTGTGGGCGGCTGAGCCAGGGGCAGCCCGAGCTGTGCTCCTGCGACAGCCCTTCGAGAAGCTGCAGATGTCTTCGGATGATGGCGCCAGTCTCCTTTTCCTGGACTTTGGGGGTGCTGAAGGCGAGATTGTGAGTGAAGGGCTGCCTCTGCACCCTGGGGAGGAGGGGGTGTGCACTCTTGGAAGCCAGGCTGGCCAGGGCCCCTGACTCTTCTCTCCATCCACCCTGCAGCAGCTGGACCTGCACTCGTGTCCCAAAACCATAGTCTTCATCATCCACTCCTTCCTCTCGGCCAAAGTCACCCGCCTCGGGCTCTTGGCCTAGAAGTCGCCGGATGCACTAGCCCTGAAGAGGGGTGTCTATGACACGGCCTAAGCTACCTGCTCGCCCCTGGGCTGACGGAAGGGAGAGGAGAGGAACGAGGGCCTCAGAGACCCTGCCCCTGAGTGAGGCTGGATTGGTCTTGGGGCCCAGGACCCAGACCCAGGACAGAGTGGATCCTGCCTGTGATGGGGTGGCCTTCCTGCTGCCCCCCTCCACTAGTGCCTTTTGCAGAGAGATATTTTGTGTACACAGAAGCCATTCCAAGCCTGGGACCTGCCCCTGTGCGGATCCTGACCCCAGCCAACAGCTGAGCTGCCAGGCCTCCTTGAGGCCCCTAAGCCACCCCTAGAGGTCCCATCTGAAGCTGGAGTCCCCTGGGGTCAGCGGCAAGAGAAAGAAGAGGAGCCTTTCTGTTTGTTTTTCCCCTTAGCTCCGCCACCTTGGGGAGTCTGGTTTTTCTCTTCATCCTCTCTCTTTCCTCCTTACTCTTGGATAAATAAATAGCCTGTGAGCATACAGGCAGCCCGGCCCTGTGTCTGTGGTCTGTGCCTTGGCCTTTGGGCCCTGGGGTGGCCCCTGCAGTCCCAAGATGGACCAGACCAAGGACTGGGGCACCTTTCCCTGGAGAAGAACAGACTTTCGCCACAGGGCCAAAGAGAGTGCATTGGTTATCTATTTTTATGTGACAAATTACCCCAAATTTAGCAGACAAATTACCCCGAATTTTGCAGCTTAAAATGACAAATATTCATTATGTCTTAGGTTCTGTGGGTCAGGAATTTAAGAGGGGCTAAGCTGGGCTGTTCTTGTCTCAGAGTTGCTCATGAGGTTGCAGTCAAGTTGTTGGCTAGGGCTGCAGTCATCTGAAGGCTTGACTGGGGTCGGAGGATCCATTCCAATACTGCTCATGCACATGAGGTCTCAGATACTCACCATGCAGGCCTAACCCTAGAGCTGCTGCTTGAGTCTTCTCATGATATGGCAGTTGGCTTTCCCCACAGCGAGACAGAAGAGAGAGCAAGGAGGAAGACACAAACAGTGCCTCTTATGACCCAGTCTTGGAAGCCATACACTGTGGTTCTGCTTTGTTCTGTTCATTAGAAGTGAGTCACTAAGTTCAGCCCACACTCAAGGGGAGGGGAATCAGGCTCCACCTCTTGAAGAAAGGAACGTGGAAGAATGTGTGGACCTATTTCAAAGCCACCTTAGAGAGCTTCAGGACCCTTTCCTGCAGAAGGGAGGCAGAGTGGAATGTTTGGTGCTTCAGAAACTGTGATGTGTTGGCTGGATGTGAGTGGGCCGTGGCTATGACTCCCTACCTAAAATCACAATGACAACAGCAATGATGGAGAAGGTTATTTTTGTTTATTTTTTTTTGAGACAGAGTCTTGCTCTGTCATCCAAGTGGGAGTGTGGTGGTGTGTTCTCAGCTTACTGCAACCTCCACTTCCCAGTTCAAGTGATTCTCCTGCCTCAGCCTCCTGAGTAGCTGGGATTACAGGTGCCTGCCACCAAGCCTCACTAATGTTTTGTATTTTTAGTAGAGACGGGGTTTCACCATGTTGGCCAGGCTGGTATTGAACTCCTGACAATCCTCCTGCATCAGCCTCCCAAAGTGCCAGGATTTCAGGTGTGAGCCACCACGCCCAGCCCAGAACATTTTTAAAAACTTTCTAAAGATCCAGTTTCTTCAATGTAGCCACAAGATAAAACAAAGATCATGTGCTTGGTGTACCTGCCTGTAATCCCAGCACTTTGGGAGGTCGAGGAGGGTAGATCACCTGAGGTCAGGAGTTTGAGACCAGCGTGGCCAACACGGTGAAACCCTGTCTCTAGTAAAAATACAAAAATTACCTGGGCATGGTGGCACCTGCCTGTAATCCCAGCTACTCAGGAGGCTGAGACAGGAGAATCACTTGAACCCCCGGAGGTGGAGGTTGCAGTTAGCAGAGATCGCACCACTGCACTCCGGCCTAGGCCACAGAGCATGACTCTACCTCAAAAACAAAACAAAACAAAACAAAACAAAAAACCAAAAAAAACCAGGTAACTTAACTTTGAAGCAATCACTTTTAGCTTATTTATAATGGCAGCATTCTTTGTTTCTTTGTGAAAATGAAACTTTCTCAGCTTATCCACTAAATTTTCAGCAGTATCCCAAACGACCAAAGACTCGCTCATTTTTCTTCTGGCCATCAGCAGTCTGGTGCCTTCACCTGGAACACCCTGTGAAGTGTTTTTGAGATGCGGTCTTGCTTTGTTGCCCAGGCTGGAATGCAACTGTGGGATCCCGGCTCACTGCAGCCTCGGCCTCCCAGGCTTAAGTGATCCTCCTAGCTTGGTCTCCTAAGTTGCTGGGACTACAGGCATGTGCCACCATGGCTGGCTAATTTTTTTATTTTTTAATTTCTTGTAGAGATGGGTTTTGCCATGTTGCCCAGCCTGGTCTCACACTCCCAAGCTCAAGCATTCCTCCTATCTCAACCTCCTAAAGTGCTGGGATTACAGGTAGGAGCCACTATGCCTGGCCTTGGACCCCTTTTAAGAATGGGATGGTGAGCTGGGTGTGGTGGCTCATGCTTGTAATCCCAGCACTTTGGGAGGCTGAGGCGGGTGGATCACTTAAGGTCAGGTGTTCGAGAGCAGCCTGGCCAACACGGTGAAACCCTGTCTCTACTAAAAATACAAAAATTAGCCAGGTGGGGTGGCACGCATCTGTAGTGCCAGCTGCTTGGGAGGCTGAGGCAGGAGACTCACTTGAACCTGGGAGGCAGAGGTTACAGTGAGCCAAGATCATGCCATTGCACTCCAGCCTAAGCTACAGAGTGAAACTCAGTCTCAAAAAAAAAAAGAAAAAGAAAAAGAAAAAGAAAAACAGGAATGGCACAGTGGCCACTTCCCTTCTTGCCCCTGCCATGGCTAACATACAGAGAGTGTGATCTTCCACACACTGTGCACACATTATCTTATTGGATCCTTACCGTATGCCTATATAGCGGGCATAGTTATCTCAGTTTCACAGGTAAGAAAACTTGGGCTCAGAAGGGGAGAGTAAATTGCCGAGTGTCACACAGCTATGAAATATCTGGGCTGGGATTCGAATCAGATCTATCTGATTTCAAAGCCATTGTTCACTTTATAAACATGTGCTTAGCACTTTGGAGGCCAAGGTGGGCGGATCACCTGAGGTCGGGAGTTCAAGACCAGCCTAACCAACATGGTGAAACCCCGTCTTTAAGAAAAAACAAAAAACAAACAAACAAAAAAACCAAAAAAACAAAAAAACATGTGCTTAGGATATTGAAGGAGCAAAATAAAATTATGTAGTTGAAGTACAGTCAACTAGAGAGAACACAGTGGGAGAAGTAAGTGGGCTGGAGAAGTAAAAGCAAGCAGGGGGCCAGGCACGGTGGCTCACACCTGTAATCCCAGCACTTTGGGAGGCTGAGGATCATTTGAGGCCAGGCGTTTGAGACCAGCCTGGCCAACATGGCAAAACCCCATCTCTAGTAAAATCTCTAGTAAAAATACACAAATTAGCCAGGTGTGGTGGCACATGCCTGTAATCCCAGCACTTTAGGAGGCGAGGTGGGCGGATCACTTGAGGCCAGCAGTTTGAGACCTGTCTGGCCAACATGGTGAAATCTTGCTCTACTAAAAATACAAAAATTAGCTTGGTGTGGTGGTGCACACCTGTAATCCCAGCTACTCGGGAGGCTGACGCAGGAGAATTGCTTGAACCTGAGAGCCAGAGGTTGCAGTGAGACAAGATTATGCCACTGCACTCCAGCCTAGGTGACAGAGTGAGTGTCCGTCTCAAAAAAAAAAAAAAGAAAGAAATAAAAAAAGAAAAAAGGTAAGCAGGAGCCACATGACACAGACCTCTGGGACACAGTAGGACATCTGGATTTGATTGCAAGGGCAACGGAAAGCACCCAAGCTTTTTGTTTTTATTTGTTTCTTTTTGGAGACATGGTCTCATTGTGGTACCCAGGCTGGAGTGCAGTGTTGAGATCACGATTCACTGCAGCCTCAACCTCCCTGGTTCAAGCAATCTTCCTGCCTCAGCTTTCTGAGTAGCTGGGACCACAGGCACCTGCCACCATACTGGGCTAACTTTTGCATTTTTTGTAGAGATGGGGTTTCACCATGTTGCTCAGGCTAGTCTAGAACTCCCGGGCTCAAGCAGTCTGCCCACCTTGGCCTCCCAGAGTGCTGAGATTACAGGCGTGAGCCACCAAACCTCGCCTGCTACTGAGAGTTTTCAACAGAGGAGTTATATAATTTGATTTAATAAAACAGACAAATTCTCTTAGGCTATGTGTGGGAATGTGGTCTCAGGAGACAAGATGACCAGTTGGCAGGCTACTGTGATTTTTTTCTGAAGAGACAGTGGTGGCCTGGGTAGTTGTAGCTACCGAGTAGACAGATTTGACATTTTGTGGTTAGAGTTGACAGGGCTTGCCAACAGATAGAATGAGGGGATCCAGGGAGATGAAAAAAAATGACCATTCGCTTCTTCCTAGTGCACCTGAAGGGTGTTTGGGCCATTACTGAGATGGGCCAGAATGGCGGGTACAGGTTTTTGGCAAAGGTGTGTGTATGTGGAAATGAAGAGTTCTGTATAAGTTAGAGATGGTTATCAGACACCCAAGAAGGGGGTGCCAAGTAGGCGGCTGAGCTATGGCTCTGGAACTCCAGGGAGGCTCCAGTTGGAGATGTGAATCAGGAAGTCATTAACCTACAGAGCAGCACCCTCCAATAGAAATAGAGTGTGAACCTCTTAGGTGACTTAAAATTTCCCAGTTAGAACCAGGCACCGTGGCTCACGCCTATAATCCCAGCATTTTCGGAGGCTAAGGTGGGAGGATGGTTTGAGCCTAGGTAGGAGTTTGAGACCAGCCTGGGGAACATTGGGATACCCATTTCTACAAAAAATGAAAAAAAAAAAAATTAGCCGGGCTTGGTGGGGCGCGCCTGTAGTCCCAGCTACTTGGGAGGCTGAAGAGGAAGGATTGCTTGAACATGGGAGCCAGAAGCTGCAGTGAGCCATGATCAGACCAAAACTTTCCCCCCCGGTAGCCACATTAAAAAAAGTGAAAAAAACAGGTGAACTTAATTCAAATATTTCTACCACCGTTACTACAAATAAAAATTAATTCAACGAATGTGCTTATTTAACCCAATATATGCCAACAATCATTGCAACACATAATCAATATGACCATTAAATATGAACGATTTGACATTTCTTCTTCCACATCTGGTGCATCTTACATTTAGCGCACATTTGATTTACACTCATCCCCTTTGAGGCGCTCCGCTGCCGCGTAAGTCCCAGGCTAGTGGCTGCCCTAAGGCTCAGTGCCGCCACGGAGCTTTGGGTCCACCCGGAGTGTAAAAAGGAAGCACTTCCGTTAGCTTGACCGGGCCTGAAATGGCGGAGGAACGGAAGTCGCTTGTGTAAGAGCGCAGCGGCTGACCGCTGAGGGGAGTCGACTTGCCGGTGGAACGCGGGACCGCGGGTACTGCTGC